TTTGGCTTCGTTTGGTGCATCCCACCTTCCACGTTGGGGCAAAGGGATGAGGATTGTCGTTGGTTAGAGACGCTCAGATGTAAGGCCCAGGATAGAAGTCAGTGGCGCGAATGCTGTACTGTCTGCCAGTCAAAATCCTGTGGCCGTAAAAAAAACTAACAAAAACATATCAAAAAGTGTACGGTGAAACACAAAAAATTTGGTATTCCATTTATGTACTATCTTCCATTTTAACTGTTTCACCTCCTTTTCGCTCTGTTCTGTATCCCAATCCACCCAACCCTGTGATTAACGTTATTATTGTTGTGGTGTTGGTATCATGCTTTTCCGCAAGCCGGTGTCAAATATATACAAAGTGCAACAACGCACACACACTTTTTCAAGCGTTTTGATCTGATGAGAAGTGAGTAGAAGGATTTTCTCAAGATAATCTGTCGGGCAGAGTAAGACCTTTTTGCGACAAGTGTCAAACGAGACGAAAATACGAATAAAACGAGCTGAATTATCACTCACATCAACATTGTGGACATCTAGGACGCGCGAATCGCTAATAAGGCCTTGTTCTTGGATTTGTCTAAGTGGCGTGGCTAAAACGTTGAAAGGCTATATGAAACAGAAAAGGATGAGTGCCCGAATAGCATGGAACATACCGCCTCATAGCACCAGTCTTTCAATATCTTGAGATCGCAACGGACAATTGCCTGAAACAAAAATCATCGAATGAATACCACATGATAATGATAACGAGCACATAAGCCAGGAGGAAAATTCGCGATTATTCGACAGCGGCTCGGAGCGCTCGAAAACACAGAACTCAACCAGGGAATCACCTCCTGACTAGCAGTGTGGCTAACCCTTAACATATTTTAGATACAACCATACGTTTGCAGTCATATGTACAGCTTAAAACAATTCAATAACGAACAAAATGGTTCGGTGATGCGTCATTGATCAAAAAAGACAATACTAAGTAAGGATTGGATGAATTAGTGTGCATTATCGAGTTTGACACCCTTCAAGTTAACGTGACCGTTGTGGTAAGCAAGGCGGTTTAACCTCACAACCGGTCTACATTAGGATACTGCATTGATTTTCAAGTGTCATGTGTGCTATTAGGAAGACGCGGGGTGTACGCGCGTGCTATTCGTTGTTTACCAGTCATAGCCGTCACAACGGTTGATCTCTTATTTGCTGGTAGGCATCCCCGGTGTGCGATGTTTGTGGAGGCAGGAAGTCGGTGCAAGCGAGCGGAGGCAGTTAAATCAAGATCTAGAGTGGTTGTATGAAAAATCTGACCAGGGGACTTCGTTATATTGATTGTGGACCTCGGGACCAGCTTGATAGATGGTCATAGAACTGAGTGATACACCGGAGGAGGGAAAACAACGGTTCTCGTGCACTTGGCCAATTTCCTTCCCATTTTAGTTTCCCTGTATTCAACACCCTGATGACCGCACTGCTCTGAGCTTTTGACTTGAATCTTTCAACAGTGATCGACCAAACGAATGGTCGAAAGACAGCAAACTAGAGGGGACGAAAGTGTTCAAACTGTAAACTGAAAGTCAATTACGAATTGTTGTCATACCGACTAATATCAACACAGTTCACAGGTCTTGATCAAAAGACGACGACGATCCTGAAAGCGGCTGAAGCGAGTCCATGAATATATATTTCTTTGCCAAATTCGACTTGTGATTATCACCAGGATCCTGCCTGTGTTTTCACTCTGTGACATTTCTCTTTCATGGCAACTTGGGAGAAAAGGGAGAGAATTTTGCTCTTTGAGGGACAACAAGAGCGCGTAAAACATGAAAGCACCGAGAGCTGCTGATCACGAGCGGTGAATCAGAGTGCAGTCACCTCAGGAAGACAGTGTAGCACACTCGAGAGTTATGATCACCTGTGGTCTACCTGTTCCGCAGGTATTGCTTGCAAAACTAATCCCGACTAACTGGTCGCGCGAACACAGATTGGCAAACAAGCTTATTTTCAGTGTTACATCAACTGGCTAAATACAATACAATTCATCACAGATAAAGCAGGTAGTGAGAAGACATAAATGAGAAAGAAATCACGGTTTAGAGAGGGAAGATGTCATTCTTATAAATGGTACTGGTTGTTTGGAGCATTTGCTAGAGCTCTGATCATCTCTTCTGGCAGGTTCTTTCAGGATCGTCTATAGCTCGACGATTCCCCTTTGATCGGGTTTCTCATTTATGTTTATGTTGAAACCACCTCCAGCGAGCTTTGATCAAGCTGAAAGGTGTGAGTCGGTGCTACACTTTGCTCACTAAGCTTATTGATTCCAGGCAATTTCAATCCCAGGTAGGCTAAAATATCAGTACTTTTGAGGGAGTAATACACTTTTTCCTTGACTAACCGGTTAATATACCTGTTGTCCATCAATTGGGCACTGAACACGGGATATTAGAGATAGGATGTAGCGGTGACCCCGTGATTAAGTCACCGTGCTTTGAACCCTATGATCCCAGCCCCACCACCACCACCACCATCCAACTTTGGTGGTAGGCAGCTTTGTGCCGTCCGGTTCAATATCACAACCTAGTGGGGCCTCAGGTAATTCACCAGCAGCGGGGCTTAAGTTACCGTTTTCCAGCACTGAAAGCAGGTCTACGTGACTACGGGGTCTACCCCGTCTCTTGCTCGTCCCATCAACGTTTGTACAATAAAAAATGTGCATAGTCGGATAACTTTCATTTCTATGAGGGACGTGTCTTGCGGTGCAAATCATACTGAATACTTGTGTTAAAATAATGGGACAACAGGAGATACAGTGGCGAATAACAATGTGGGTCGTATGGGTCAGTACACGTGTACAGCAAATCGGTTCAAAGTCGTTGTACCGGAACATGGCCATGTGAACAGAAACCGGAGTAAACTCGGCTGTTCCAAAATCGAACTTACTTCAAGAACATTGGGGATGACTAGAAAACGACAAAAACGTAGAAAGCTTTCGGTATCGAAATTGGAGTCCAGTTTGGTAATCTCGTCAAGAACGGTCTGTAATTCATTGCCAGATTTCATACCACCTGAAAAACAATTTTTTGTCAAAAAGAAACGGAGGTTGACCAGAAATTTTTATTAACTACATTTATTGTATGTTGATCCATGAAAAATTGAAACTATTAATTCTTTTGAATAGAGAGAACAGCATCATCATACAGCGAAGTGAACTTCATTGATCACTGCCACGCTCACATTGCACACAAGGCAAGTGAAAAAGGATAAGGTGGAGAGGGATTCGAACTATTTTCAGAGTAAGGAAAGAAACTGAACCCTTATGGTCAACACAGAGTACACAGCACATCTATGCATAGACATTTTTTCAAACCTCCTGATAATACGAACGCCACTGCGATCGGTTCAATGTCATATCCTTCAGTGTATCCAATTATTCAGCTACAGTCTTTTGGACCCCTGCCTGGAAGACGAGATATCTGCTCAATCTAATCGCTCTGTTCACTTTTCCGTATCTCGTCTTCACGTTATCTTTTGACAGAAACGTGATTTCCTCCAACCAGAGCGGCTACTGCAAATAAGACGCAATGGGGTAGGTAACCGTTGGACATATGCAAAACGTGCCCTACTGAGCTGAATTCGAGTAACACGGGAACTCTGTGTTATCTGAGCCAGACTACGCAAGCATCGATTGTCGAAAACCTCCAGGTGATGCATGTTTCCTACCCGTAGATCCAATATCGCGCAATCCTGACCGACCGGTGGCACACCGTTTGATCCATTAATCCCAATTTGACAGACTCAACTTTGAACCAAAACTCAATGGTTCTAAGTCCACTCCTTTACAAGCGTTACGTGAAGTGCCGACACTGAACCTCTTGAAACTTTTAACTCTGTCTATCTTCACCTTGTTTCATTGCATAAAGGGAAAACAAAGGCTAACTATCAGTCCTGTATATTATTATCATCATCCTGACCTTTTTACTTTACGGTGGCTGGCTCCTGGGAGAGGATAAGCCGGCTTCATAGATATCAAGTGAATATCCATGGAATTTCTTGGTAGTTAGGTTCAGGAAGCATCCCCAACGGCACTCGGTGGCATCTCTAGCCTTCGCACATCTAACTGCCAACTGCAAGGCAGCAGGAAAGTAGCGCATGATTACCGATGGTCCTCTGGGGGGGGGGGAGCAGCTTATACGCTATTGACAGTTTTTAGATAAACAGGGGTCCACACATGCTCGATGAGTACGGAATCGTTGCCTTGATCGTTGAGTGGTGAAGCGACTTCGTCCACCCAACACGTACGTCAGACACCGACTCGCCGGGAGTTTAGCTGCCGGTTACGCTCAACCTGGTTTGGCCCGCCGGTTGAGCGGTTTACACTGACTCAGAGGTTGTGTTCTAATCCCATCAACGACGATCCTCTTACCCATTTGAGTTCCTATGCGTGTTTCTGGCAACGGCTCCCTACTTAAAGATTGTCTGTACCATTGTACAAACCATAAAGAGGAACCAAAACAGATTGCGATTGTTATCAAAATACTGAAATCTCTCCAATAAACGATCTGTGTTCGGTCAGATAAACCCTACAGGCGCGGATATTACGGCAATTGCCAACATAACTCACAATGACACTACAGTATTATTGACCAAACAACCCTTAGGTTTTTGAGCACCGCGTATCAGAAAATAAATGGCGACGCTGCAATGATACATAAAGAAACGTAAACCGGATGAAACAACCTACGTGGGTGATGGTGNGGTGGTCAAACGGTAAAGGTCAACAGATTATCGCCGTGGAGGACGTGTGTTTGAATCTCACCGCCACCGTCTGGCTCCCCCCTCCCTTTTCAGTGTGTTGTACGACAGCCATCTGGTTGAACACTTCTCTCTTCCTGAATATTGTATCATTGTATAATTAAAACAAAGGGAAATAAAATCAAATATAGGAAAAACAAAGACAAGACCAATGTTCCTGGAAATAGGTGCTTCAACTGAGAAGTGTCAGCGGATATCAATCCTCCATTTCCGATGGGGGACGCCGCTGCTGCCAGTTTGTTGTCATCTACCTCAATCTCCAACCAACTAGTTGCAGTCTTGCGGGCCCCAACCTAAAAGGCGTGAGACACCTACTCTACCCAATGGCTCTGTGCATTTATTCATGCCTCATCTCTACGTCATCTGATGACCTCCAATGGGTTTCCTCTAGCCCGGAGCGGCTACAGCGAACAAAGCACGGTATGCAGCTGGGCATGCACAACACGTGAAACAACTAGTGAAGCTAACTAATCTGAATTCGATGCCCTAACAAATTTATCCCACATTAGCTCCCAAACACAGGATGGCTTACATCAAGATTAGTAATCCGTTCGCTCCATTTCACCTGAGCCAGACTTAGTAAACACCGGTGGTCGAAAACATCTACTCGAAATTTCAAAGTCTCATCACCATAAAGCAAAACTGAACGAACCGTAGCACAATATACGCGACCTTTCAACTTCTGTGAAACATTGCATCTCAGACAAACATGTTTTAGTCCTGCGTACGCTGCTCGAACCTCAAAGAAAGCTGCGATCACTGGTCGATGGTGGATGTGACGCAGCTCAATGTAACACATTGTAACACAAAAGTTTGATCAACAAATCCACTACTAGGCTGGATTTCGGCTAGTTGTTCACAGATGTTCGTTTTTCTTACAGGAGTCAGAAGTCGAAGTAGGACGGAGGCTAACACTTTAGTGACGATTGGGATCAAACTTATCCCGTGGTGGTTTTCACAATCCGTGGGAGATTCCTTCTTGAATAATGGGTGCGAACAGTGGTTTGCCAAAAGATGGAAAAATGTGCACGTGCAACCAAATTTTTATGCAGTAAGTTAGTAATAGCGCTTAAGAGGTTATAACCCATCTGGAACTGAGTGCCAGGAAGCCCGTCCGGTCTTGCTGCTTTTTGTCGCTTCAGAGCTTGAATGCCACACCGAACTTCTTTTGCCGAAGATCACATGGCACTGCCCTTGGAGCCTCCGTTGCAGATGAGGTGATCTAGCTATCGCTAAGCCAGCTGAAGTATTCCGCCCAAAGAACAGCTAATAGCTTGCCATCTGTCACTGCAGACTGTTTCACGAACTGGAGTTCGCCGACCTCCTGTATTGATTACTTTAACGCTCAAGTTGGAAAACTGAACGCATCAGAAGCTTACTAAGGCGGTCGTTGTGCTCTGCCGTGCCAACGGACAGATAATGGCGATCGACTTCTTCATTTCTACGCAGACCATCATCTGTTCCTATCCAGCACCAACTTCCGACATAGTTTTCAACGGACAGCAACGTGGTGCTCAAATTCAACTGGCACGCTAACTCAGATCGATCACATAGCAGTAAGCTATCGTTGGCATAGTTCAATACAAGACTGGAGGTCCTATTGGACCACCTGCGTTGAATCTGATCATGCAAGTTTTAATGCAGTTCCTTCTCCAACTCACTGGTCGCAGAATATCCCACTAAACTCGATTGGCAGATCATCGCCTATCTGACCTAGCCGTTTATGCCCGTTTTGAATTAGAACTAAGGTAAAAGCTAAACGCGCTGCGGGGTGGTAGTGTAGATGAACAATGGGATCAGATCAGCCGAGCAATGCACTTCTCAGAGAAGGTTGCTTGTGGATCTGAAGCGGTAACCCAACCGAGGCATTGGATATCTGATCAGTCAGTAGCACTGATGGAGAAAAAGCGGCAAATCCCAAACACCCAAGATCAGGCAGGTTTAGGTGGCGTCTACAACGTCATCCCACGAGGAGCCTCAAGAAAGACCGTGAGAACTGGTGGACAACGATAGCTAGTGAAATGGAAGTAGCAGCTGCATCAGGAAATAGTCAGAGACTGTTCCAACTGATAAGCAATACTGGAGGTCGACGAACCACAGTTAGTGAAACAATCTGCAACAAAAATGGTCAAGCTAATCACAGCAGGGAACAACGGTTTGACCGGTGGGCGGAGTACTTCAACGAACAGTTCAGCTGGCCAGGCGCTAACCAGGTTATCTTATCAGGTGTAGCTGAGGCTCTGTGAGCAGTGTCATCTGAACCTCCTGCTGCAGCGGAAGTTCGATCTTGCATCCAAGCCCTGAAGAAAGGAAAAGAAGCAGGAC